TCATCATTTTATGCTCAGCTCTCACAGCTGTGAAGAATTCCATAATCTACTATGTACATTTGGTCTAACTGTAATTATACTAGTTTTTTACGTAAATAAACTTAACTACCTGTCTACTTATAACAGAAAGAGTTTTTCTTTACAAAAATAATTTTAATTATTGAATATATTAATAAAAAATATATAAATTTAGTTTCTTTAATTGGTGATTTGCCAGTCATCTGGTGCATAATCATAGTGTAACATGATGCAGATCACTATGTAAATCACATATACCTCGAATGTGGCGTTCACCTAAGGAAAACTTTTTTTCTTACTAAGATAATCGCTCTTCTCTATTAAGCGAAAATTGTAGAGCTCGAGATATCGCTAAAAAACGATTCGCCGACTATGTAAAATTCTATGTAAACAAACTATTGTTTATATAGAAATTTTACATAGTTGGTGAATCATTTTTTTAGCAATATCTCAATGAATACTAGGCCAATTTTGATGTTCTTACTGCCATTAGATGCGCCTCGACGAGCTCTACAATTTTCGCTTAATAGAGAAGAGCGATTATCTTAGTAAGAAAAAGTTTCCTTAGGAGAATGCCACATTCAGGATATATGTGATTTACATAGTGATTTGCATCACGTTACACTATGATCATGCACCAGGTAACTGGCGAATCACTAATTAATATAATATAATATATAAATAATAATTATATACTATTTTTTTAAAATCATATAATTATTCTAAAGTCTAATTTTACTATAAATCTTTATATAAAGATTGTATAAATATATCTTTAAATAGAAAAAGATAGTACAGATTATTTTTATTTTTATTTTTTTTTATTTACCTTCACAATGTCGCAAGAAGTCAGATTTTTATTAGGTATTTTAAATAGTATATTTTTGATTACCCTGTCCTGTATCACCCACTACAATTACGCCATCCTATAACCTCATGCTGCTTTATAACCATAGCAGAAGTGTTGTTTGGCTGTTTTGTTCTTACTGGTTTTTCTGTAACATTTTAACTATACTATGGTCTAAACTGAAAACTACCCAAATTGACATCTGCTATACTACTTGTACTCTAATTCTATAGATAACCTAGTAGGGTTCTCATACTACTAGTTGCTCTAGTGAGGATGTAGTATATACCTCCCTAATCTTTCTATGTCTTACACATTTTCAGATTAGGCTATGAATACCTTTCATAGCAGCCGAAACCACCACTAGCAGTCAGGACGAACCATTAAACTACACAATTTCAGTATATGATGGCCTTGCAAGGTTCGTTCTAATTCTGATACCCACATCAAGCTGGTCTTTATACCGATCCCTCCCCAACTACCAAACCAGTTAGCCCGGACGGATCATTGTACCTAGGCTTTAAGTGCTTTTTAGTTTTACTCCTTTGGTTCCTAATTCTATAGCATAGGACCTTTTTCTCTGGTGCAACTCCGGTGGCCAGGTTGGTAAATCCTTTTTGCCTCAGAGTTTTTTGTCTAGTTCTTCGGTCTTCGGTTTTTGACTTTTTCGCAGTATCGTCAAAGATCTTTACTATCTTCTTACTCGGGTCTTGCCAAATGGGTTTTAATTATTCTGGTTCCTTGAATTTGGATCACCCAAGAGCTTCCATTTTAAGATGGTAGTATCAAGATTACAGGTAATATACCCAACCAATCAATGAATAATTGTTATCAGAACACAGACCTATTTTTCTAAAACTGTCTCTGGTAGAATTCAAACTCTAGACCTGCTGCTTGGAGGGTGACAACTTAACCACTACTCTAAGTCACCACATCTATTCAGATTACTCTTATTAATATTATTCTATTTGAATTGATTTTAAATTATGTTAATAGTAATATTAATAAGAAATCATATTAAAGCTAATATTTATGAGAAAATTTTGATGTAAAAAAATTTATAAAAATTTTTTGTAACTTAGATTGATATTAATGAGGTTGATATTAATGAAGGTAACTTTTATTAATATTTTAATATAATGCAAGATATCTAATTATATCATAATGCTAAAATTTAAATCTATATATAAATATATATATAGTAATATTAAATTTTAAAAATTTATATAATAATGCTGAAATTTTTAGCAGGTGAATAAAAAAGACTGAATTTAATAAAATATAGAATATAATATGCTGAATTTTAGCAAAATATATAATTTAAGTACTGAATTTTAGTAAAATAAAGTGATAAAATTTTTAAATTTAATATAAAATTAAAGAGTTTTTAAATTAAAATAACTTTTTAATAAAAGGTTTTTTTAAAAAACTCTTTATAGTTATATTCTTTATATTTCAAAAAATATTAATATAAAAAGACATTTTAAAAATTATTATTAGTTAAAAAGTTATTAAACTTTTAGTGCAAGCAATTATTTTATAATGTAACTAAATGTTTCACCATATTACTAGATTAAATTATACCAACATCTCTATACTCAATTTGTAGGATATTAGCTTAGAAGAATAATCATCAAATTATGTATATAAGTTCTAATAGAAATTACTAATACAAGATTTGATTGGAAGGATAATATAATTGTAATTAAACTGAAGCAGTAACTATGAAAATAATTTGTAGTAAAAGATTGAATTGGAAACACTTCTGACAATATATGAAAGATTAAAAAGAAATAGGTTAATATATAAAAACTCAAATTAAGGCTAAAAGCACTAGGTTGGTAGTCATAATATAAATAGGTTATAACTACAATGCAATAGCATACCAACATTAAACATTAACTAATTCAGATAAAAGCTAAAAGTAGTAATACATACCACAATTCTAGTTGAGAGTGACAAAATTATTCAATATAGCCTGTACCCAACCAACACACAGAAACCTCTATATAAAGGTACAGAAACACAGCATATTAATTCCAGTTCAATATGTAAGCTCTCTCTAACTACATACCACTGTAATGAATAAGTTATATAAGAAGTCATCTAGTAAAAGGTTGCTAAGGCTGTGGACCTTAACCATTGTAGAAATGAACAGGAAATCCGGGCTGGATCTAAGGACACGAAAAAAAGAGTATGGACCCAATACTAGCAGGGAAAGTTAGTCAGTATCATCACAAGTACACCATGAGGAGTATGAAGGCCTAGACCCGACGGGGATCCACCTGCTTGGGAGTTGCTCCGGATAGGTATGAGAGATGAGGGAATACAATAGTATCAAAGACAATTATAGACCTAGTATACAAAACCCAAAATATAAATAATAGTACGGGATTAAGATATATTTGGTGGTCTGAATCTGAGAATAAATTAGTTCTAAATTGTAGTCTAAATTGTAAAAATACCAATGTATACTGTAAAATGTAATAATTGGAAATATACAATAATAAAGTTAATGGTAAAAGATGCCGCCTTAAAAAAAAAAAAACCAATTATAAAACAAAATAGACTCAGATGAAGAACAATTACAAGTCTTAACGTCATCTAGTGACAATGAAGCAATAGAATCAAAAACAAAAACTACAAAAAATAGCTACAGAAAATATTTACCGAGCAAAACTATACAATACGAAACAACAACTACAATCGGAGTAATAAAAATCCGACCAATTACCTTGCACTATAAACAACTACAAACGTATACGTACAAATTACGTAATGAGGTAAACCGGAAAAACAAATCCGGAGATTTTTCACTATCTTCTCTGAATTTTAAAACAAACTGACAAAATGCATAAATCAAAGCAATCTATTATATTTTCAATTATATCTCTGATTATAATATTTATAATATCTTTTAGCTTAGTGATTTTTATTCTTAATACCTATTTGTTTAATACAGGGTAAATATTTTATTTATTCATTCACAATACAGTTTCAATTCTAATATTCATGCCTTTTGTTTAGGAATGTTGATTTAAAATTCCCAAGAACATTACATGATGTTAAATTATTGCATAAAGCCTTAACTGATAATGACGCTGAGGACTCTCATGTTCTGATTTGCTATGTCGTAACATACATCTTGTAAGTGCAGTTGCCACTAAAACTCGTTCTTCTGTTTACTTCGTTCGTCTCTACATCTTTTTAAAATTTTTAATATTTTAGTTTACAGTCGTTCGCCATACCAGGAAGTGTAATGCTTAGTGTTTTGGGCGGGACTTTGTGGGGAAGTTTGGAGGCTTTATTACTAGTTTGTTTTGTAAGTTCTTATTAATACTTATATTAATATCAAATGTTTCAGCCTGTTTAATATCTTCGAAAACTATTTTTTAGTGTTCTGCAACGGGTGCTACCATCTGTAGTTTATTATCATATTATTTATGAGAAAATTTTGATGTAAAAAAATTTATAAAAATTTTTTGTAACTTAGATTGATATTAATGAGGTTGATATTAATGAAGGTAACTTTTATTAATATTTTAATATAATGCAAGATATCTAATTATATCATAATGCTAAAATTTAAATCTATATATAAATATATATATAGTAATATTAAATTTTAAAAATTTATATAATAATGCTGAAATTTTTAGCAGGTGAATAAAAAAGACTGAATTTAATAAAATATAGAATATAATATGCTGAATTTTAGCAAAATATATAATTTAAGTACTGAATTTTAGTAAAATAAAGTGATAAAATTTTTAAATTTAATATAAAATTAAAGAGTTTTTAAATTAAAATAACTTTTTAATAAAAGGTTTTTTTAAAAAACTCTTTATAGTTATATTCTTTATATTTCAAAAAATATTAATATAAAAAGACATTTTAAAAATTATTATTAGTTAAAAAGTTATTAAACTTTTAGTGCAAGCAATTATTTTATAATGTAACTAAATGTTTCACCATATTACTAGATTAAATTATACCAACATCTCTATACTCAATTTGTAGGATATTAGCTTAGAAGAATAATCATCAAATTATGTATATAAGTTCTAATAGAAATTACTAATACAAGATTTGATTGGAAGGATAATATAATTGTAATTAAACTGAAGCAGTAACTATGAAAATAATTTGTAGTAAAAGATTGAATTGGAAACACTTCTGACAATATATGAAAGATTAAAAAGAAATAGGTTAATATATAAAAACTCAAATTAAGGCTAAAAGCACTAGGTTGGTAGTCATAATATAAATAGGTTATAACTACAATGCAATAGCATACCAACATTAAACATTAACTAATTCAGATAAAAGCTAAAAGTAGTAATACATACCACAATTCTAGTTGAGAGTGACAAAATTATTCAATATAGCCTGTACCCAACCAACACACAGAAACCTCTATATAAAGGTACAGAAACACAGCATATTAATTCCAGTTCAATATGTAAGCTCTCTCTAACTACATACCACTGTAATGAATAAGTTATATAAGAAGTCATCTAGTAAAAGGTTGCTAAGGCTGTGGACCTTAACCATTGTAGAAATGAACAGGAAATCCGGGCTGGATCTAAGGACACGAAAAAAAGAGTATGGACCCAATACTAGCAGGGAAAGTTAGTCAGTATCATCACAAGTACACCATGAGGAGTATGAAGGCCTAGACCCGACGGGGATCCACCTGCTTGGGAGTTGCTCCGGATAGGTATGAGAGATGAGGGAATACAATAGTATCAAAGACAATTATAGACCTAGTATACAAAACCCAAAATATAAATAATAGTACGGGATTAAGATATATTTGGTGGTCTGAATCTGAGAATAAATTAGTTCTAAATTGTAGTCTAAATTGTAAAAATACCAATGTATACTGTAAAATGTAATAATTGGAAATATACAATAATAAAGTTAATGGTAAAAGATGCCGCCTTAAAAAAAAAAAAACCAATTATAAAACAAAATAGACTCAGATGAAGAACAATTACAAGTCTTAACGTCATCTAGTGACAATGAAGCAATAGAATCAAAAACAAAAACTACAAAAAATAGCTACAGAAAATATTTACCGAGCAAAACTATACAATACGAAACAACAACTACAATCGGAGTAATAAAAATCCGACCAATTACCTTGCACTATAAACAACTACAAACGTATACGTACAAATTACGTAATGAGGTAAACCGGAAAAACAAATCCGGAGATTTTTCACTATCTTCTCTGAATTTTAAAACAAACTGACAAAATGCATAAATCAAAGCAATCTATTATATTTTCAATTATATCTCTGATTATAATATTTATAATATCTTTTAGCTTAGTGATTTTTATTCTTAATACCTATTTGTTTAATACAGGGTAAATATTTTATTTATTCATTCACAATACAGTTTCAATTCTAATATTCATGCCTTTTGTTTAGGAATGTTGATTTAAAATTCCCAAGAACATTACATGATGTTAAATTATTGCATAAAGCCTTAACTGATAATGACGCTGAGGACTCTCATGTTCTGATTTGCTATGTCGTAACATACATCTTGTAAGTGCAGTTGCCACTAAAACTCGTTCTTCTGTTTACTTCGTTCGTCTCTACATCTTTTTAAAATTTTTAATATTTTAGTTTACAGTCGTTCGCCATACCAGGAAGTGTAATGCTTAGTGTTTTGGGCGGGACTTTGTGGGGAAGTTTGGAGGCTTTATTACTAGTTTGTTTTGTAAGTTCTTATTAATACTTATATTAATATCAAATGTTTCAGCCTGTTTAATATCTTCGAAAACTATTTTTTAGTGTTCTGCAACGGGTGCTACCATCTGTAGTTTATTATCATATTATTTAGGCCGAGCTGTAACAGAGAGGTTCTTTTCTAAACGTATGGAGATCTGGAATGAGCAGGTGATGATTATTTATATAACTTGAATGATAAAAATTTAACGATTATCTTTATATTATATTTTTGAACATAGTTAAATGATCATAGGAGACATCTATTTTCATATATCATTTTCCTTCGAGTAACACCATTTTTGCCGAATTGGTTTATTAATATTGCATCACCTCATTTGGGGGTAGAGACTAGTGTGTTCTATTGGGCAACTTTACTGGGTATTTAGTTGAAACAAATTGCTTCGTTTATCCAACTATCGATTCTGTGGATCACTAATTTCATTTTCATTAATGAACTCGTTAAAGGTGTGGCACCTCTGTCATTTATTCATACACAGGCTGGAGATACAATCCATCAATTATCAGAAACTGACGAAATATCATTTTTTACAACCAAAAATATCATTGCGATGATTTTTGTTGCTATTGCAGCTTTGATACCAATCTTAATAAGAAAAAGATTTGAGAACAAAGAAAATGGTGAAAAAAATGTAGCTATAGATACTAAAAAAGAGATTTAATCACTAAGGATGCCGCAATAGGTTGACTAGAATTGGAAGATTGCAACCTTTCATCTCGAAGTTGTAATTCTTTGGTAACGGATATAATGATCTGATTACGCTAATAAGTAATTGCGTGACGCAGTCACACTAAACTATATATTACCGAGATTTCAATGATTTTGAAATTTTGTAACCTTATTATTACTGAATTAAAGAATGTTTTTTAAAAAAAGCATGTGAACAGATACACACGTAGGTTGTCAAATAACCATAGCATTATTAAAATATAAAAATCGATCATGTACTGTTATTCGTTATCTATCATTAAATTTGGTAAGCTATTACTCGATTGCTTATGTTTTTTACAACAATTACAACCTACCACGGCATTTACAACGATTATAATGACAATTACAGCCATTACGAAGTTACAACAATTATAATCGTTACGACAACTTTGAGTATTAGTTGTAATTAGGGTTACAGTACAACTTAGGTTGTAATTAATAGTTATTCAGGTAGAATGTAGATGATATTGGGCATCATTTAGCGGCCATTTGTTGACTCAGATCATGCCGCTTCGCGGCATGATCTGAGTTAATCAAATGGCCGCTAAATGATGCTGACCCAATATCATCTACATTTTCTACCTGATAACGATATTATCCGGGAGTGGTCATTGATCATGTTATCCATATTAATTACGTAATACATTTTAACTAAAATGATGATGTAATTTCAAAATAAATCTAATGATGAGTTATTTTTTACAATTTTTTTAAAAAAATTATTTCTTCATAACAATGCCAAAAGCTAATAAATATACATTATTAAATGATCGTATTTCTTTCTTTATTGATCAAGCTACTATTAAAACACAAAACGTTCTACAACCAACTGGTTAAAAAAATTTATGATTATTGTAAAGAATATGCATTGGATGGTAGTATCGAAACCTTTTCAGATCCCAAAGAGCTTGAATCAAACTTGATTCACTTTTTCTCTTATGCAAAGTGTTCTGATAAAGAAGAATATTCTGTGAATTCAGTTCTTTCAGCAATAGCTGCTTTTCAACCATTAAAAGGAATTAATAGTCATGATAAGCAGAAATTTTCAACTCTTAATATACTTCTAAATGGAAAATTTAAATGGCTTAGTGTTAAAGGCAAAGGCAAAACAAAAGGTTTTACAGTTGATGAATGGCTTCATATTTTAAAACATAACTTACATCATTGGATACACCATAGGGTTTATTTAATAGAGTTTTTTTTTTAATGTATTATTCTTTGCTTTAAGAGGATTATGAACATTACTTTTTCAAAAAAGATTATTTTTAAAAACATCAAGATGGGTTATGATATTGTGATTTATAAATCTATGACTAATCAATATGGAATTGAACCCAGAACATGCTGATTAAATATCTATTTTAAATTTAAAACATATTAATAATATATATGGCAAGTACTTTTTAAAGTAACCTAATAATACAAACCCATATTTTTATCTACAAGCTATTGATAGAAATCCTGAAGGTAATTTAAAATTTTAAACTATTTATTATTATAATAAAATATTTTTTTTTTCTAATTCAGCAATCCTGCATTTATTTATTTAGGATTAAGTTCTGTAAAAAATAATACATTATTTTCTTTTTAAAACCTTCACTTATTTAACTGAAACAAAAATTTATCTGGCATATATATAACAGATGTGATCCACCTTAGTAGTCATTTGTCTCTCTAACAGATTTTTAATTTACTAAGGATTTATTCCCTATTGGTTTTTCAGCAAGTGGTTATATATTTATCAAGATGAGAAAACAAATACTAAAAAAATACAAAGATATAGAGGCTATAATTAAAGATACAAATAAGAAAAAAAGAAATAAGAGAAGTAATAGACAATAATGTAATCAAAAACCTAAAACAAATAAATAATCCTAAACTTATACAAAACCAAAATTGAGATATTATACGTATTATTTATGAGATTAAACGTATTAAAAATATTACTTTTATTCTTTACAAAATTAAATTATACTTTACCATATTTCGCCTTATAGAATACCTCTAGTTGACTATACTCTCCTTTATTTATGCTAGGTATATTACCAGGTCAATATAACCTGTATTTTTAGTACAAGACCCAGTACGATAAATGGAGGTTTTTATGTATATAATATATAAAAACATATTGTTTTCATAATATGATCCTTACAAAAGACCTCTTATATAGTATACCCTCTGTTATACAGTATACCCAAGGTGTATAAATTAAGAAAAACTGGTTTAAATAATAAGAGACTCTGGATACTTTCTATAGTGAAATATAGTAATGCTCTTCAAAACCAAACAGAGCTGCTTGCTAACATCATGAAAATTTTTAAGGGGATAGATAATGATTATAATCGGGAAAATCGATATATGGGGAGAAGTCAGTAGAAATAGGTCAAATTTTTTCTAAGTAAAAGTTTTCTTAACTTTAAATTTAAATATCTTGTCAACTATCTTATTAAATCTAATAATT